AACAAAAAAAAAAAAAAAAAAAAAAAAAAAGGGAAAAATATGTGATTTCCATCCAAAAGAATATGAAAGCAAAAGCAGGATTGGGGTGTGTGACATGTGGAAACGAGCTGTACCTGGGGGAGAGGATAGTGAAGAGGATAGCGAAGGATTGGGAGGCTGATGAAGAGGTGGAGAGGGACAGAGCAGAAGGCAGAACAGCCCTGGAAACCACCTGTGAGAAGAGAAGAGAAGAAACTCCAGGGGCTCACTGGGCCCCATGGATGAAGAGCAAAGCAGCCGGCTCCAGCATTTTGCACCATGTCCTCGTAAAACCTCAACACCAGCACCCATCCCTCCTCCGCGCCAGAAGGTCCCGGCGACCGGGCGGAAGAACAGCAGACAAAAGCCCAACGCGTTTCCATCCTGCGCCAAGAGCCGCAAGTGCCTTTGTTTTGGGAAAAAGTTTGAACAGGTTTTGACAAACACAGATAACACCCCACAACGGTGACGTTTGGGTCACTCCTCTCTTTGCTGTGATAAGAACTGGCCTCTTACCGGATGGTAACACTTTGATCTTGCTATCGAAGACGTGTGTTGCTCTATTCTCACCTGAGCACCTTGCTAAGGACGCAAATTCCTGGAAGTCCTTGTGGCCCAAAATACAAAGAAACCCTTGAAGTCAGGGGTGTGCGTGGTGGTAATGGAAAATGGAGGTCAGCAGATAAGGAGGGGTCACTGCTTCCCAGTATAAAACTGGGGAGTCCGGGCAGCTCAGCCCATCTGCTGCGGTCTCCGAGAAGGTGTGCGTGGACCGGTGGACAACTCCTGCACCATGAAGTGGTTCATCCTGGCCCTGGTCTGTCTCCAGCTCTCAGAGGGGCTGGTGAGGTGGGTGTCCTGCAGAACGAGCGGGGAGAGGGTGGATAACAGGGCCGGGCTGCAGCCGTAACCTTCACCTGCAGCCGTAACCTTCGCGGGCTGCGCTGCATCCCCAAGGATGCTCACCAAGTCCAACCAGGCGTGACCGCGGCCTCCTGCATCTCCACAGATCATCGTGGTCCTAGTCCAGGCTGCATCCCTCGCTGGGAGGGCAGCCCCTGGGGACCTACAAGGCACCTGAGCAGAGGGATCCCAGCGAGGCAGGGTTCAAAGGAGCCCACAGAACTCATTGTTTGAAAATGCCCAAATCTTCTCCTGATTTCCCATGGTCTTTTGTTCTTTTTTTCCCCCCTCTGTGCAGAATCAGACTGAAGAAAACCAAGTCTATACGGCAGAAAATGAGAGAGGATGGAGTGCTGGAGGATTACCTGAAGAAAATTAAGTATGATCCAGTTAAGAAATACCGCTTCCATGAGGACTATGTTGTGTACGAGCCAATAAGCAGCCACCTGGATGTGAGTAGCCCAGGTTCCCCTCTCGCTGCCTGTCCGTGCACCACCACGCTCCCTTTTCCCTCCTCCTTCCCAGCTGCCGGAGCGATCTGTTCACCCCTGAGCCTCCAGGAGTGAGAGATTGCTTTTTTCCCCCCACTCTTTTAAGCTTCTATTTTAGACTTGAGACAAGTTTTCCCCCAGCCGTGAAAAGTGATGCTTTTCTGTAGGTAACAAAAGACATAACAAAATAAATATTTAATATTACATCTTTTGGGAGAAAAAGCAGGGTGAGAGTTCAGTCTGTTCCTGCCTACTTTGTTATTTGGAAGAGTGGGCCTGGCATTCCCCACCACCCTGCAAAGCCCTGGGATGCTGGCGCGGGGCTGGGAGGCGAAAGCCTGGTCTGTCCCTGACCCTGTGGCCAACAGAGATACCCCATCTCTTGTCCGCAGTCCTCCTACTTCGGGGAGATCAGCCTCGGGACCCCTCCCCAAAAGTTCTTGGTGCTCTTTGACACCGGCTCCTCCAACCTGTGGGTTCCCTCCACCTACTGCCAGACGCTGGCGTGCTGTGAGTACTGCGGCCACGTTGCACGGAGCTGCCCCATCAGCGTAGTCCGATCGCATGGGGGAAATCACGATGCCAGACCAAAAATGCTCCCGGCACGGTGCTCTGGGATAGCTGCTCCCTGGTACCAGTTGGTGCCTTCCTTGGGAAACAGGGAGCCCTCCGCCCTTATGTGCCTGGCGAATGAAGTTGGCCAAATCACTGCGGCCATCGTGGGTGTCCCCAGAGCGCGGAGATCTCGGTGGTTGTGCCCGACCTTTCGTGGCTGGGCAGAGAGAAGAGCAAAGCTATGAATCATGGAGCTGATGTCCCGCTCCTTGGCAGAGGTCATCCGATGTAACTCGCTGTCGGTGGGAGAGCGATGGGGATTTAACTGCTGATGGCTTTGCTCACGCGAGGTGGCTGATGTGGTTGTGATCACAACAGCTGTTCCCTGGAGAGGGATGCAGGCAAAACTGGGATGCGAACCCTGCCTTAGAGATAACCGCAAGGCAGAGGAACAGCCTGTTCTGCTCTTCGGGACTTGCTCCCTCCCAGGGAAGCCGCTTTCCCAGGCGTTATCCTGGCAGAGCGACCGATGGTGAAATCCCACCGCAGCCAGGTCAGCATGTGCCCAAGAGCTTTGCCCTGTTCTCTCTCGTGCAGCGAATCACGCGAGGTTCGAGCCCAATGATTCCTCCACCTTCAACTGGAACGGCCAGTCCTACGGCATCTCCTACGGCAGCGGCTCGGTCACGGTGGTGCTGGGCTACGACACGCTGAGGGTGAGCACACCCCGCACCATCCTTGTCTTCCTGGGTGCTGTGTCCCAGCACCAGCTGGGTGCCCCGATGGAAGGAGCCTTGGGGACAGCCTAAGGGCAGATCTTATGTCTCGTCTAGCCAAGGCTTGGGCAAACCAGGGCCTGAGATGGGCAGAACCGATATAGAGTGGTTTTTGCCACCGTCAGTTACTCAGCTGGGTTTTTACTTTGTTTTAACCCAATTCCTGCGATTTTTCCCAGCTGCCTGCTGATGTTTTCACCAGCTCTGACCTTGCAGTGTGCTCTTTGGGCTTTCAGAGCACCAGCCATCCCATCCGATGGCTGCTCAGGTTTGCCTAAGCATGCAGGCTGACCTGGCGTCCCCTTCCCCTCCAGATCCAGAGCATCACCGTCACAAACCAGGAGTTCGGGCTTAGCCAGGATGAACCAACCCAGCCTTTCTACTACGCCGATTTTGATGGGATCCTGGGAATGGCCTACCAGTCGCTGGCGGTGGGAGGGGTACCCACTGCACTGCAGGGCATGCTGCAGCAGAACCAGCTCACCGAGCCCATCTTTAGCTTCTACTTCTCTCGGTAAAAACCTGCCGGGGCCCTCTGCACGTCCTGTGTGTGCTAGTGTCCCTCTGCCTGTCGCCATGCAGGTTCCTTGTGAATTTGTCCCTTGCTATTGAGGGACACATCGCATCGATTTACCGATCTCTGTGTTTTTGCAGCCAGCCCACCTATGACTACGGGGGAGAACTCATTCTCGGTGGAGTTGACACTCAGCTCTTCAGTGGGTCTATTACATGGGCACCCGTGTCCCAGGAGCTTTACTGGCAGGTCACGGTTGATGAGTGAGTTGTGTTCGTACTCGATGGCCATGATCGACCCCGGCAGCCCATGTAACGGAGGTGGTACAGCTGTTCTCCAGATGAAGCTGCAGCTATTGCAGCAGGCATGGGCTCGAGGCCGGGGTTAGGCACTGCACTTCAGAGCATCTCAGACTTCTAGATCCAGCCAAGACAGGTTAAGTTGCCAGTGGGTGCTTAAAGTGACATCCTTCTCCCTCTTCTCCTCCCAGGTTTGCTATCGGGCAGTCAGCGACCGGCTGGTGCAGCGAGGGCTGCCAGGCCATCGTGGACACGGGGACGTCCCAGCTGACGGTGCCCCAGGAGTACATAGACAGCTTTGTTCAGGCCGTGGGTGGCGAGCTGACCAGCTATGGTGTAAGTGCAGGGGATGCTTTGGAGGTGTGCGTGGAACAGCGAGGAGGCTTGCAAGTGAGCCAGAAGCCGTGGGCTTGATCAGGTCCCACAAAACTCATGTGGCATCTGCAGAACATGGTACTGCAGGCACGTCAGGGAAGGACGAGGCGACGTGGCACTGCCAAGGTATACGGGGGCATCTCTCCTCTCACAGCGGGTGCTGTTCCAGCCATAACCTCCTCTTCACCCTCTCTCCGCAGTATGCTGTTGACTGCAATCAGATCCAGAACATGCCCACCATCACCTTTGTCATCAACGGAGCTCAGCTCCCACTCAATCCCTCTGCCTACGTCTCGAATGTATGTATTAGCTGAGCAGCTTCATCCTGCTGAGTCCTTGAGGGCCAGGAAAGGACCCAGTGCTTCTTGACAAGTAGCGATGCTCTCCCTCCCTGCAGCCCAGCTGGCAGGGTCCTGGTGCTTGTTTGAGGCTCTGACCCCCCCCAATTATTTCCCCCCTTACAGAGCAACGGCTACTGCACTCTTGAGATTGAGGCCACCTACCTGCCTTCCCAGAACAACCAGCCTCTCTGGATCTTGGGTGATGTCTTCCTCAAGGAGTATTACACCATTTTTGATCTGGGTAACAACCGCATTGGCTTCGCCCCATCGGTGTAGAAGAGTGGACCAGCAAAATCCAGCTCCTGGCCAAACACACCTTAGCCAGCATTGCTGGAGTGCTATGAGGTTCCGATGGACCTTTGTGTTCCTTCACATACCTGCACCGCTCCCTGTCCCTCCGGGATATCTGTGCACGTTCTCACAGTCTCCTGTTACAAATAAACCCCATCATCCCAAATTGTCTCTGACCTTCTGAGTTTGTTGAGTGACGATTGAGCACGGACTGATGGGTTGCATGTCTCCGACACTCTCTCTCCAGCAAGCCAAGTACCATGATAAACTCCTAGGCAAACTTCCACAGAGTCAGCCCAAGGAAAGCAGTGGGGAAGCTGTCCCTGGGCTGCTTCAAATCTAAAGTCAAGGTATTTATGTTTCTTGCAAAGGGGTATGACAAGCTGTCAACTCCTAACAGCTGTGGGAGCGAGTCTCAGCCTTTATCTATAGTGAATTATTGAGCTTGGGGTTGGCTCTGATGAATGCAGCAGGCTCGGAGCTGCAGCTCAGCTCGCAGCCCGATGGGCACAGGGACGGGAGCCACCAGTCCTTCCCCGTGCTGGACGGTGCAGCCCAGCTTCCGAGCCCTCGGGTATGAAGATGTCCCACAGCCCAGCCCCGTCCCCTTCTGGGGCTCAGCTGGGGGCTGCGGACTTTGTGCGCTGGAAAGCAGGCAGCTGCCTTCCCCCAAACCCCAGCCGCTGCCTTTGGGCCGGGCTGCACCCCGCTGGGGAGGGGGGGTTGACCCTGGCTGGAGGCCAGGT